TTATGAATAATTGTCACGCAATTCATCATTTTCATTCATTATATTCAATATGATGATGTGATTTCAGTGTTTGGTTCTTTAGTTTTCTTGATAAATAATGATAAAATGGTAATGATTAATTTTGGAACGATAGTGAATGGTGAAATGGATGGATTTTAAATGCAAATATTTCATTTTTTTTTTGCTGCCCTCTCTGATTCTCTCTCGTGAAGTCTGTTTATGTCATGGATGATTTTTTTTCTTATTTTGTTTCGCATATGATTGGTGTACCACGAATCATCATCATCATCATTATCATCGGTAAACATCATTATTAATTGTGTAGATGTTGTGTTCCAAGAATTTTTTTTTATTCAAAACACAATAATAATAACCATAATAATGACAACAACAGAAGAAGAAATGAATATATGAAAAAAAAAAAATTCTGTTCCGTTTATTCTGTTATTCTATTCCATTATTCTGTGATTTTCATTTTCAAACAGAATGATTTTTCAGGAATTTTTGTTTGTTTATTGTTTTTTTTTCGGTAGTTTTTTCCTGATTTCTTTTTTTTCTCTCTCTCTCTCATTGGCCACATCGTTTGGCATCGGCCAAATCGATATTTTCATATTGATTATACATTCGATTGATTGATTGTTTATTGTTCCATAAATATGATTATTATTTGTACGGAAATTTTCCGAGAAATTTATTTTTTTCAGAAATTACTAGTTTCATAAACCATTTTTATGGAAAACAAAATTCCTGGTAAATTTCCATTGAATTTGTGTGTGTGTGCGAAGAAAAATATTCAAAAATCTCATCATTATGGCTTTATGAACAAGTGGTATTGGAAAATTTAATTTTCCATCTTTGATGACGACGATGATGATGATGATTAATATATATTTTGGGTGCAAATCTTGATGATCATTTTTTTTGTGTTTCATGATGGAAAAAAATTCCACAATTTTAAAATGAAATTTTTCATTGGAAATTGATGATGATGATGATGATGATGAAAGAATAGTCAAGCATTGGCCAAACAAATTTTGAAATTGAATTAAAACAACAACAACAACAACGACGACGACGACCAGAAAGAAAATTGAGAAATAAAAATTTTGTTTTTTGTTTTTTCTTCATTCAATTTGCTTACATGAATAATTGTCATTGAGATTCATGTGAAAGAATTTAGAGAATTTCATTTTCGATTACTGTATGCGTGTGTGTGTGTGTGTGAATATTCACTTTTGGTGATGATGATGATGATGATCGGTACACACTCATATAAACTTGAATATGTAATAATGGCTGCTACTGCTGCTGTTGTTGGATCATCATGGATCATCATCATCATCATTGCCTACGCCTAGATTGTAATGATGAATGAATGAATGATAAATCCTTTTCCATGAATAGTGGATAGAAAATTGAAAATCAGCAAAAAATAAAACAAAAAAAAAATTCATCAAAATCATTTTTTAGAATATTTCATTTCATTCGAATTTTTTTTTTAAATTTGAAATTCAAGAATTTTTCATTTGTTTTTCATCGAAAAAAAAAAACAAAGAACGCAAACTCAATGCATCATTCATGTGATTCAAATGATTCTATTCTACTATACCCATGTTTTCAATGGAAATATTCTCATTTGGACTATTCCAAAAAATTATTTGTAGTTGTTGCTGGAACCTTTCACCTTCATCATCCAAAATGGATAAAAATCATGTGAGCTTTTCATATATACTTTGTGTGTGTGTGTGTGTGTGTGTGTGTGTGCTAATGTGTCTGTGTTATTCGACCTTGGACAACTAAAAACACAATAATACACACATCACATGATTTGTTTCAATGAACTTTAAACAATTGCCCAAAATGAATCACATGGTTGTACATAAACACATCAAACACACACACACACACACACACACACACACACATTTTTTTCGATGGTACGTAATGGCATTTCAAGTAAAATCATATGATCATAAAATCCAAGGTCATCAAAAAATGGGTTCATCTTATGACTTTATAAACGAATGAAAGGTCGTGATACGATCGAAATGAATGAACCAAAAGAAAAAAAAAATGCCTCAACATCGGACAACCAGAATTCATTTATGATTCAGATTGAATTTTGTTTTTTTTTTGATCATAATGATAGAGAGATAGAACAATGATTACGATGATTATGATGATATTGATTTCAATTTTCTTTTCGTTTTTTTTTTTTGTTTGTTTGTTTGTTCAAAATATATCAATTTAAGAATCAAAAAACATAAACAACAACAACAACATCATCATTTTCTTGTTCGTTATTCTGGATATAGTATGTGCCTAATCGGGCGAATAAAATTATCCATCAAAAGAGAGATGGAGAGAGAAAGGAAAATGAATTCAATTTGTTGTTTTTCTCTCTCTCTCTATTTTTCTCAATCAAATTATTAGGTTTGTTTTTTTATAGTAGTTTATTTCAATTTCAATTCTGATTCAATTCAGATCGATTTGATTGTATATATTATATTATACACATTATAAACAGAATCAAATTCATATCAATTCAGGGCCAAAAACAAAAAACAAAAATTCTTTCATTTATGGTTTACTTATTGGTTATTCTTATTCATTTAGAATAAGAATTTCAGAATCATTTGGATTCTTAATTGAATATTACTACTATTTTTTTTTGTTCACTTTGTTCTGGTGTACAAACACACACACACACACACGCACACACGGATTTTGGTCTTTTAAATTTTTGATTATACTACAGTATCAAAATCGTAAAGTTAATAATAATAATAATAATTCTTTGCTAAATTCTGGCTTCATCTATAAATTGGCCAATGTTTTTGTTGTTGTTGTTGTTGTTGTCACTTTGTTCTGGTGTACAAACACACACACACACACACACACGCACACGGATATACAGAATTGACTTGTTTTTCCCATTCAATTCTGTGTATATTTGTTTGCTACAGTATCAAAATCGTAAAGTTAATAATAATAATAATTCTTTGCTAAATTCTGGCTTCATCTATAAATTGGCCAATGTTTTTTGTTGTCGTTGTTGTTGTTGTTGTTGTCGTAGTTTCAATATGGTTACAATTTGCTGTTTTTTGTTTTCATATTCATTAATCAAATCACAAACTCAATATGAAAAGAAACAAGAGAGAGAGAGAGAGAGAGAGAGCGATTGTGATTGATTCAAGACAATCAATGAATTCAAATCAAATGAAATAGGATTAAACATCGATATACATGTATGTATATGGTATATGTGTGTACATTTAATCATTTGACAACATCAACAACAACAATTCAGTAATGAATTAAATTGTACGACATTTCCTGATTCTATTCACAATAATTTCATACAAAAAAAGTTGATCCCTCTTGAAGTGTAAAGGAATCATGTAAGTGGATGAAAATCCTTAAGAATCGTTAATAAATTCTGTGGTTAGAAAATCAAATGAAATGAATTCATATGAATAATATCTACACACACACACACAGTCGACCACCACAGTTTTTGGTGGTTTTTTTTTGCTAGTTTTCAAATCAAAAATTGTACAAATTTGTTACAATTACACACACACACACACACACAAACCAAACATATTTGAAAACATGAATAAATCCCTTTTCACAAATTCAATGATTGGATTTTGTTTTGTTCAATTAGAATGCACACAGAACAAGATTTTCAAGAATTACTGTTGGATTGTTGTGAGACAAAAATCAAGTGTGTGTGTGGCGTGTGAATTTACATTTGATTACAATTTTTATTACACAACAACAACAACAATATGTGATGAGATGATTCAATCATTCACACTGCATTTTATTTCTTGTATTTCATACTGAAAAATATTTCACAACACCCACACACACACACCAATGAATTTGGTTTAGGATTTTGATTTTTGCAAAACGAAAACAAAAACAAAAAAATTTTTGAAGATTTACAAAATTTGAAAATTTTATCGATTATTGTGTGTGTGTGTAGAACATTGACATTTGTAATGTGATAAACAGTTGAAAAAATTATACACACAACACACACACACACACAAAGTGATAGGAAAATCCATTTTTCCTATGAATTCTAAACATCTTTTTAAAGCCAAAAAAAAACAACTTTGTGGCGGTGGTGGTGGTGGTGGTTGCGATGTTGGGCATCGGGGGGAAATAACCTCGTTCATATATACGAATGGACGGATGTGACGAAAATTGTTGGTTGTGGTTTTTCTTTTTCGTTTGTTTGGCTGAAGAAAAAAAAAAATTTTCATGATTTCGAAAGTGGCTAAAAAAAGAAAATTTTCGGCTTTCCAGCAAAAAAAAAAAAAGAAAAGAAAAACCTTGATTATGTTTCTTGGAATTGGAATTTTTTTTTCTGTCTTTTCGACAGTTTTTTGGCCTCTTGAATGATATATTGTGTAATCTAATGGATCAACAAGAGAGAGAGAGAGAGATTAGGAAAAAAAATGTGTTCGTGTGTCCGATACGATCAATCAATTTTCAATCGATCAGTCCATTTTCTTTTTTTCACTGTTGGTTGGTGGACATCATTCTTTAATGATCATGATGATTTTGGGTGCCTCTTGGTTGTTTTTTTTTGTTGCTATTTTTGGTGGTAGTCACGTTTGTATTTTTCTTGTCTGTTTTTTTTTTTGATCATTTGTTACCCTCTTGATGAATCGAGGTTAAATGTCGACTGGCGGAGGAGGAGGAGGAGGAGGATGATGAGAAAGATGTTAAGTAAAATCTCCTCCTCGTCGTCGTCGATTTTATCATTCCTTTGCACTGCAGTGAATATGTGTGGATGTGGGTGTGTGCGATTAGTCTATAGATAGATATTAGCATATTATTAAGCCACTACCTTGAACTTTGTTGACCCGTACTAATTTATTTATTTTCATTTTTTTTTTGGTTTCATTTCATCAACCTCCGCCTTTTTTGGTTTTTTTCACTTTTTTTACTCCTCTTGGTTTTGTGCATCCTCATCATTTCAGATCATAAACGTTTTTGTCCATGGAAAGATTGTCATTGTGCAAAATGTGACCTAACAAATCAACGTAAAAAAATTATGGCTGCACAGGTTGCATTACGTCGCCAACAGGAACAAGAAGAAGAGCTTGGTATTGCTGTGCCGGAAATTATTTCACCTGAACAACATCAACAAATGATTCAACAAGCTCAAGAACAACAACAACAACAACAAAAACAACGACCACATCATCATCATCATCGTCATCATCAACATCGATAACAACAAAATCAACATCAATTTCATCGGCTTCATCATCAAGACAGCAACAACAACAGAATAGTCCATCATCAGTGGCTACTGTAGCTGCATCATTAGAATCACTGCTGTCATCCAGTGGTCAACAGACGAATCAACAACAGCAACCAAATACAATTGTACATCATCATCCACCATCATTATCATTGAATAATGTTATTGGTAGTGGTGGTGGTGGTGGTGGTCATCATCAATATCCGCCATTTGGATTATCATCATCATCATCATCATCAACAGCAGCAACAGCATCAACAACAACAACAACAACAACATCATCATCAACAACAACTTCTAATCAACGATCAATAATAAATGGTCCATCATCAATGATCAACAATACAGGTACTGGACAATTATCAACATCAACAACAACAACAACAACAAATAATTATTCATCAACAATAACATCATCAACAACAGGAACAGGAACAACATCAACAACAGGGATTCGTTCATCACCAGAAATTATGGTCTATGATGATGCATCATGTAAGTTTGTTTTTTTTTTCCATACTTTCTTTTTTTTTTTTATCTTTATGCTACAAAGAATGATAATTTTAGGAATCAGTTAGAAACCAATCAGCCAAAAAAAAAAAAAAAAAAATCGACCAAATATCGATTTTATCGATTTTATTCGAATGAATGAATTAAAAAATATTCCTATAATCCATACAACATTGCATTCACAGATTTGAATGTTATCTCATCTGTGGATTATCATCATCATCATCATCATCATCATTATTATTATAGAGCTTGATGATTATCAATGATGACAAATGTCAAAAATTTCTTACTTTTAGAATAGAGTTGATATGTTGAAAATTACCACCCACAATGAATATAACTAAAACTATCAATTATGATTTGTTTGTTTGTTTGTTTTTCTAATCTTAAATTATCATCATCATTATCATTAGCAGCAACAGTGGATGTATTACAGTTCATTTCATTTGAAGCACACACACGGACAGATTATTATATCATCATCAAATTATAATTATGATAACAATTGATGAATGAATGAAGTGAAACAAGACAAAACAAAACAAACAAGCTATATATGCAAATTATGTGTGTGTGTGTGTGTTTTTTTTTTATTTTCCATTCATTATCTGTATCATTTGTTTGTTTGGCCACCACCACCACCACCACCACCAACACCGAGAAGTGGAAATTTTTTTATCCACTTTTTTTTTTTTGATTAACAACCAACAAAGTTGACAAATTCTCATCATCATCATCATCATTATATATATAGGTTCAAATGGATATGGCTCGTTAGATTTGATGATGAATGTGGGGGAAAAAAACGGATTTTTTTTTCTCCCATGAATTTATAGAAATGACAAATGCCAAAAATCCCAAAAAAAAAATAAATTCTCCATACACACACACACACACACACACTAATGTTTTTCTGTTTTTATTCTTGTCAGTTTCATTGTTTTTTTCTCTTCATCTTCTCAATTTTGTGTTTGAAATGTTGTTTCACCATCTTGATGATGATAATCATGATCATGATGATGATGATGGTGATGATTATCTTGATCATCATTATTTGTTGTTGTTTGATTTAGATAAAATTTTGTTGTTTTTTGTTTCATCATGGTCAATCATTGGATTTTTATTTTATATATTCCATGGAGAAAAACTGATGATCATGATCATCATCCATGGGTTTGGGTGTGTCGTTGTTTTTTCTCTATTTTTTTTGTTATTTTTATTTTTGTAGATAGATCACCACATTGTACTAAATTTTTATTAAATCATTGAATGACAATGTGTCAACCACATACACACACACACACACACATAAACAGCCAAACAATAACCATTTGAATGGCCATGAAATAATTGGATACATTTTATAGATATTTGCAAATTTCTTTTTTGATTTTTTGAGTCATTTCATCCATCAGAAAATAATAATGGTCAGCCATTTTGTTCAATTTGTTGAAATGAAAATTTCCATGCTAGTGTGTGTGTGTGTGTGTGTGTGTGTGCAATTGTGTATGAAAATTACATTCATCATCGGTGCATAAAATACCAAAAAAAAAATTCACAAGAATCATCATCATCAATCATCATCATCAACAACATTATGAACCATTGAAATGTATCGTATAGCCATCCATCTTCAAATATTCGTTCCATTCGTTCATTTTTTTTTCTCGATTAATTATCATTTTTTGTTATTCGCAAGTTTAGTTTGAAATTTTTCTGTTTCGTTTTTTTTTTCGTTGATTTTAGTTGGGCAATTCAGTATAGTCATCATCATAATAAATAATTGTCTCGATTAATCTCTCGTCTAGTTCATTGGTTTGTGTGTGTGTGTGTGTGTGTGTGTACATTTGGACAAACCTACCTGCCTACCTGTCTATTATTTTCATCCATATCAAAATTACCTCTCTCTCTCTATGTATGTCGTTGTTTTTTCTCTTTGTTTTTTCCATAGAAATGTATCCATTTATTTTTCAAGAGTTACACAATCAAAAACACACACACACACGCAGATAGAAATGAATCAATGATTATCATGATTATAGACATATGGCTATAATAATCATCATTATGATCATCATCATCATCATCATCATCAACCAAAATTGTGTATGTGTGTGTGTCTGCGTGTAAGAGAGTGAGAGAGAGGGTATATATCAAACAAATAAACAAACAAGGTGAATGAACATTTTTTTTTTTCGTTTTTACATACCAACATCATCATCATCATCATCATATATAGCCGGCCATTTTGTCGACCCAACCTTTTTTTTAGTTTTTTCCTACTGAAAAAACCACATTTCAGTGTAGTATAGAGCACCAACACCACCACCATCACCACTACAACCACAAACAAATACACACACTGTACATATCTACCTGAATAATCACGACGACGACGACGACAACGAAAAATGTGGAATGTAATAGGTTTTTTGGTCGGTGCGAAAACAAAATCCCCAAAAAAAATGGACACAATTTTCTTCATTATAGGTCCAGGTTTTTTTTCGATTTTTTTCTGTCTGTAAAAAAAAGTTTTTTCTGGCCGCTAAACAAAAATATTTGGTTGAATTTGTCCAAGAGAAAAAAAAATTCATGATGATTGTTTATGCAATAATAATAATGAAATGAAATGAAATAAAAACCAAGATTCCGGATGTTCAATGTTTTTGTTGATCATCTGGTTGTGGTGGTGGTGGTGGTGGTCACATCAACATAAAAATTGTCAACCACACACATACATCCAATCTGGTTGTGTGTGTGTGTGTGTGTGTGTTTTTAAAAGAATTTTCTATTCTCCATCTCATTCTCAGACCATCAAGGTCATCATCATCATCAATTTACTTTCACTACACACTGCTTACTTTTCGCTCTGTCTGTGTTTATATTTTCAATGTTTTCAAACACATTATTTTTCAAAGATTTAAAAATAAATATGGTCATAAAACCATAAGAGAAAATAAAAAAAAAAAAAAATTTCACATTTATTTATATTGTCTATGGTCAATTTTAATTCAATTCAACCATTTCTCATTTTCATTCATTTTCATTCACATTGAAATTGTTTAAAGACGTACTATGTTTTTTTTTCAGTGAAGAAAATGCATTTAAAAAAAAATCCAAATTATACCCATTATTGGACATAATCTCCTTAATAGAAAAAAATGGATCATCAAACCAGACAAACATTGATGCATTAAACACACACACACACACGTCTTGTCTTGTTGTTTTTGTTACATAATCGATTTTCAGTTTGTTTGTTTGTTTGTTTTTTTTCATATTTAAAATTGGATACAAATTAATTCTAGAAAAAAAATGGCCAAATGGTTCGTGATGCGTTTGTTGTTGAAAATTATTCAGCACCCAAAAAAAAAAACTCTTAAAAATCATAAATGTAGATTCATTTTTTTTCTTTATCTTGTGCAATAATAATAACGATGATGTTCATCATTATCATCATCATGATCATCATCGTCATCATGTGTTTAGAATACATACATTGAAATTCTTCACATTTGCATCCAAACAACACCAACACCAACAACAACAACAAAATCATCATCTTATATAAAGAATTTGTTAAGATAAATAAATTGCCACAATGGGAAAATATTCATATAATAATATCATGGGCACAAAAAAAAATAATTTCTGTTTCACCATTATTTATCCGTTATTTTATCCTGGAATATTCTAATTCTTTTTTTTTCTCTCACAAATTCTGGGTGCAATTGTTATAACAAAATACGTCTCATTTATGGCTCATGATTTTTTTTCTGATAAAGCCATAAAACATAGCATCCAGAGAGAAACAAAAAAAAATTTTTCCACCATGTATATAATGAGCGATTTAATTGCAACATTTTCATTTATTAATTTGAATATAAATCAGCCCAAAATTGCCCCAAAAATAATAATCCACTGCTGTAAATGAATCAAATTATTGAATCAATCAAGAATTTTTCATCATTCGAAAATCAAGACCATCCATCCACCCACGCACACACACACACACAGAGAGAGATGCGATGCACCAATTTCTCATTGGTCCAATAAACCGAAAAGAAAAAACATTAAAAGAGAAATTCTGTTTAATGTAGCAAAACAAAACAAAACAAAAAAAAAAATTCTTTTTAATATGCAACCCATTAATTTGCACAGAATTATATTCAATAAATTGAATTGAATCGTAATATAGAAAAATACAGAATAAAATACAATGAAAATTCTTTACACACAAACACACACACGCACACACAGATAAAAAAAAGAAACATCTTAATTTTCAATCAATAACAAAAAACAACAACAAAGAATTTCAAAAATTCTATAAAATTCAAGAATTTTTTGAAAAGGAAAAAAAAGTTTCGCTGTTTTGTCTGTTGGATGCAAGAAAGAAAATCCAATCATAAACGACACAAGAATCAAAATGGCTTGGATTCAATTTATTTAAGTTCAATTCAATTCAATTCATTTCATTTCATTTGTTTATCTGGTTGGTTGGTTGGTTTATTATCATTTTTGTCTTTTTGTCTGTGTGTGTGTGTGTTTGTCCAATGTTTTTTTTTTCTTGCTTGTTTGTTTGTTTCATTCTAAATTACCATTTTATATTTATATTTATTTATATTTATTTCGTATACACATCCTGTCACAATAATAATAATGGTTAAAATATCTACAAATAAGCAATAATAAACGACGATAATAATAATAATCGTCCATTATTATAATTATGGGCAATTAATTTAATTATTTATGGTTCTAGCTACTACGAACAACAACAACAACAACAACAAATTGGTGATGACGATGATGACGATGATGATGCTTCCAATGGATGATTCTAGTCAGCAAAATGTTTGTTTGTTTGTTCGTTTGTTCGGTTTATTCATTCATCGTCATTGTTGTTGTTTGTCGTGGATAATGATGGTTGATGATGATGATGATGATGATAACGATCATTGAATTTTTTTTTTCAACAGCAGCAACAACAACAACAACAACAACAGCGAAAAAAAATTTAAAGATTGTAATCGTTGTGAAATAAACAAAGAATGAAAACATTGACAGTAATTCAGTTTTTTTTCCAATGTTTATTAGCATCAATTTTAAATGTTTTTTTCCTGTTTTATTTTGGTTCTTTTCACCATTCTTATTGATTATTTAACTCTTTTTTGTTGCTGTTGTTGTTGTTGTTGATTTGTTTATATTAGTTTGATTATTATTAACTGAAAATCGATTTCGAATCGAATAGTTTATACATTTCAAAGTAATGTTTTTGGTTTACTTTCAACGTATGAATCAGTCACACTTTTGATTGATTTTGTTATTGAAACATAAAGAGAACAAAAAAAAAAAAAAATTCATGACTGAAACATAGAATATAAATGACGGGAAACCGTTATGTTTTTTTTTTACGTCGTACAACGATTCCAACAATTTTTCATTGATGATTTTCAATGGAATTTAATAACATCATCTTCAAATCATCATCAACTGAAATCTCTCTTTGCTTTGTCTTTTTTTTCACACAAAATGATGATGATGATGATGACTTGTGGTTTCAGAATCGACAGTCAAAGATGTATTTTTTTTTCTTTTTTTCTAAACATCTCTTGATTAGCAGTCATAATCATTATCATTATCATTAACACACAAGTGGCTTTTTTTTGGTGGTTTGGTGGTCATCTTTTTTTTCCACCATGATTATGATGATGATGATGATGATGATGATTATGGTTTTTGTTTTGTTTTGTTGAAAAAAAATGACCAATTTAAACTAAACAAAAGTATTTTTTCCCCTACCGCACACACACACACACACAGAGACAAACAAAAATTGATCAAAGTACTACTAAATTGAATTTTGTTTGTAGCATCCAAACTATAATGAGAATAATTATGTGAAAATTGTTGTTGTTGTGTGTGTGTGTGTGTGTGTGTGTGTGTGGTGTGTGTGTGTGTGTGTGGACATTTATGTGTGTTCGTGTTATCTTTATTCTGTACAAAGATTATACAGAATGGTGTGAAATAAATTCCTTTTTCATCATCATCATCATCATCATCATTATTGGAAAATTTTCCTGGAAATTCTTCATCATTTTAAATTTATATTTTTTTTGAAATTTTCTCGTTTTTCATTTTTTTTTTTTTTTTTTTTTTGATACAATTTGAACATTCCAAAAACTGTGTGTGTGTGTGTGTGTGTCTGTTTACATTAAAGAAAGAGAAGAGAAAAATAAACTGAAATCGATTGATTGATTGATTGATTATCAATCCAATTTTTTTTTTTCACCACAATGGTCTATCTTGTGTTTATGTTTATATTTGAAAATTTAAATTTCCTTGACAGCTATACAAAGATAAAGTGTTAAATTTTTCTATTTTAGATCCATTGTAGCAACAATTGAAAGTAGCAAAACCAAAACAACAACAAAAAAAACAACAAAAACAACAAAATGGACGACATAATTCCAGAGAAAGAAAAGAGTGAGAGGGAGAGAGAGAGAGAGAGAAAAAAACTTTGGCCCTTCCAATCAATATCGATCATTTTTTACTAGAAAATTTTTTTTGCTTATTTTTTTGTATTTATCATTCATGGCAAATTGAATACTTGATCAGAGATTGATTGAAATTTTCATGTTTCAACACGATTGACATTATTGTGAATGTGCCAAGTGAAAATATAAGGATTTATCGTTGATTTTTGATCAATTTGCGCAAAAAAAAAAAAATTAATCAACAGAAGAAGAAAAAAAAGAAAAAATTTCTTTTCGCAATTGCTGAATCAGCTATTTTTTTTATATATTGATTTTTCATATCATTTTTTTTCGGTTTTGGATATCGGAAATCAATCACAGATCAATCAATCAAACACACACACACACACACACACACACAGTCGTATCGAATTGTATATACACACGGAAATCAAATGTATCCAAAAATAAGTTGAAAGAGTTGATTTGATTTGAAAATTTCAATGGATTTTTTTTTCGATTGATAAATATTCAGAAAAAAATTGATACTTTTGATTTGTAATATTTGATTATTTTTTTTTCAGTGTTGATGAAAAAATTCATTTTTCAATCGATTACTCTCTCTCTCTTTTTGTTTCGGATATCCAAGGTCAAAAATTTAAACTACTGGTTTTTTTTACATTCAAACTACACAATAGTAGATTACCTATTAGGTAGGACCTAGGACATATGGCAATAGGGTCCGCAAATGTTTCTTTTATTAACTTTTCAAATTTTATAGGTACAATTTTTGTACCATGGCCAGGTTTATTTCAAACAAGAGGAAAAAAAAATACCACACACACACACACACACAAAACGAACCACGTAATGACAATAAAATGAAAAAATATCTATCCATCAATAACGACGACAATTATGACACAAAAAGCAAATAAAACACGCCTACATCATTATCATCATCATTATTATAAATTCTAAATGAGCCGTAACAGTGGGGAAAAAAATTGTCATTTACATGAAAAAATTTCTCAACAAATTCCGGTTATCATTATCATCATTATTGTTGTTCAAATATAGAAATTCTGATGACGAGATTTTTCAATATACCTGTTTTTTTATTATTGACAAATGACAATTGGTCGAAAATGGCTGATTGGTTGACTGGTTTCTATTTTTTCTTGTTCTTGTTCTTGTTTGATTGATTAATATTTTTTCTGCCCACCCCTCACATTTTAAAAAAATGTCAACTAGGAAGCATTGACCTTTTTTTCGGTCAATAAAAAATTCTGTTTTAAATTAAATCAGAATCCATTCTTTTTTCTTTCTCTGTTGTTGCTGTTGATTCTAAATCGAGTATTTAAAACAAAAACTGAATTTTTTTTTTTTTTTTCGTTTCTCTCTCTCTCTCACTTCCGTATGTGAATGATTGTTATTCGATTCTAAAATATCATATTGATGATAATCAGATGCATCAATGTCAAGCCGAATGGCACCTAGTCCAATACCAATGACCGATGATAATCGACGACAATTAGAATCATGGTGTCGTACATTGAATCAAAAATTAATGGAAAATCCAATTGAATTGATTAGCAATTATGCATTGATGGCATTATTACGTGAAAAATATGATCCAGGACGTGTTATTGATGCCCTACTTGAAGGTATGTGTACGTCATGTATGTTTTTTTTGTTTTGTTTTGTTTATTCGATTCATTCGATTTATGTTCATCCATCTTTATATTCACTTTTTTCAACAAAGTTAATGCAAATTTTTTTTTCATAGATTTACAATGGCTACATGTTTAGAATTTTAAACATTTTAATATACACGGATGTTCATGATGATGATCATCATCATCATTTGAAGCATTTTGTATCGGGATTTTTACTTTGAAAAATGAAAACTTTTTTTCTCTGTTTTGTTCGCTGTTGAGCCATTGTTGAAAACAAAATTGGGATAAAATCAGAAAATCCATAGTTTGCTCTTGGTCGGTTGGTTGGTTGAATTGCTTATTTTTTTTTATTACTATGAGCCCGAAAAAAATGGATGAGAAAAAAGAAAATCTTCATCTTTGGGTGCTTTGGAGCTTCATCATCATGATCATAATCATCAAGCATTCACCACATGTGATTTTTTTTGTAACGTTTGAAAAAAACGACAACAGCAACAAAAAAATTTAATTTCAGTTTTTTTTTGTTGTTGCCATTTGTGAATGATGATGATGATGATTATGTTTTATTTTTGCCATAAATCAACGCAAACAAAACACGTTACAATCTGTGGCATTATCGTTCAGGCTATTGCGGCAAAAAATATTCTAAATCAAAATCGCCAAACAATCATCATGGTAAGCAAAATTGATAATGACAACTGTGATGCGTGTCTCGAAAATAAATCTGTGGCTCCAGCACATAAAACAACCAATGATCTATGATGATGTGAACATTTTGAATTCACTTCCATGTTGACTTGTGGAAAGCCCAGTGTTATCGGCAGGGTGGACGTATTATGGTCCACTCATTGTTGTTGATCATCATACACGAGATTTGTTTTTGTATTTCCACTTCCCATCGGAAATCTGAGCGACAGAAACATTAATCAATTTTATTATTGATCACCAACGACGATACAAGAAACATGGTAGAAAAGTTTGTTGAAATCCGGTCTGATTGTGGTAAAACAGTTCGTCAAAAATCATCAAATGGAAGAATTTTGCTCAGAAAATGGCATCAATCATCAACTACTGTTACGCGCCACAGCAAAATGGAATCGTAGAAATAATGAATGAACCCATTTCGTAGAATTTGAAATAAGAATCTTTATTTATTTCATTTCATTTTTTTTGCTACATCTATGTAGCGAATTGATGTAGCAAGACATGACATTAAAGAGTGATTTGAATTCTGTATCCAATGCTCATCATCATGATGATGATGATGATGATGATGAGCAGTCCATAATAATAACACTTTTGCATCCATTTCAAACTTTGTGATAAAAAAACGATGATGATGATGATGATGATTTTTTTTCTGAAAAAAATTTTTTTTTATGTGTCCATTGAAGATTGGATTTTTTTTCTATAGTGTGGACATAATCGATGACCACCGACTGTGAATTAAATTTTTATTTTTATTTTATTCTTGTGTTGTTTTTTTTTTTTTTAAATTTCGTTCAAATGAATCAAATGGTCATGGTGGTGGTGGTGGTGGTGGTGGTTTTTTGTTCGAAATTTTGAATTTTTTTTTCTGGTTTGATACACTTTAATGATCATACGCGATGTGTTTTTTATGATCGAGCAAAAAAAAAAAAAAACTTTTGGATTATCATCCGAAATCATTCAATCGATGAAGGGTCATTATTCGATTTCATCCATTTCTAAAATAAAACAAAAACCAATCACACTATGAATTCTGGTGTGTTTGAAAATTTCCATTAATGTGGCTTTTCGTGTTTTTGCATTTTTTTTTTTTTGGTTGATCAAATCTGATTCTGTATGTTAATGTTTTTTATAATATATTTGAAAGAATCGCCTGTACAGGTAGATTTATTTGGAGAAAAAAAACATAAATTTTTTTTTCAGTTTTTTGGTCGTAATTATAGCCAAATTGATTTTTTTTCTCTATATTTCTTTAAATGAAAATCCTGCTATGATTGGGTTTAATGGCTACGACATTTAACATGTATCTTATATGTCGTGTCGTGATTAATGATTTTGTCTTTTTTTAACGAAAGAGAATCGTTAAATTTTCAATTAAAAACCAAAAGAAAACAAAAAAATAAGATGTGATCAACATTTTTCATACTGATTTTGATGAACAAAAACCTAATATACACACAGCGCACACACACATTCTTTTTTTTTCATTCAAAAAGAATTCCTTCAAATGGATACTGTAGCCAAATGCCGTTTATTGCCATCATTTCCTACCATATATTAGATATATATAAATTGATTGGATACATTGGATGACCGAGACATGGTTATGTCGTAAATTTTTCAAGTTTCCAAGTTTCCAAGTTTTCAAAAACGAATAATTTAGATCAAGGCAATGAAAAAGAGATATATATGTTTGGAAAAGTTGCATTTTATTATTATTATTATTACTGGAAAATGCAAAAGTTTTTTCATCATTATTATCAAACATAATGAAAATTGCCACAGCAAAAAAAAAAAAAAAAAATGTACAAAAATTGTTGCACTGATCTTGATTCCATAACATCACATCACATGTTTATTCAATGTTTGTTCATCATCATCATCATCATCATCAGGAAAAAAAAATTCCAACATTTAACATTCAAACCAAACAACAACAACAACAACAACAAACGACAGCCATAACCATATCATATGAAGGGATATCAAAAAAAAAAAAAAACCATCATGGTATCCAGCCGAGAATTTTTTTTCATCCATCCATCCATCATCCATCCATTTTATCTATATGTGTGTGTATTATCTCCACAACATCATCATATTTGTGCGACACATTTTTTTTCTCGGTCTGTCTGTCTGTCTGTCTGTCTTTGCCAAGGGAAAAACTAAATTTTTTTTTCTTCCAGTATTATCAGTGTCGTAAATTATTATTATTATGATGATTATTATAGTTTTTTTAAAAAAAAAAAAGTTTAGTTTCGCGGAAAAAAAAAATTTTGTAAAATTTATTCACCAAAAAAAATTATGATCTAATGGTAGTAGTAGTAGTAGCAGCAGCAGTAGCAGTAGCAGTTGTAGTGGTTAGTGGTAATGGGTTAGAATAATTTAATCATTTTGTTGTTGTTGTTGTTGTTTAAAAAAAAAAAAAAAAATGCAAAAAAGACCAACAAACGAACAAAAAATACATTTTAAATTAAGTTTAAGACAATGATGATTCTGGTGTTTTTTTTTGGAAAGTGTGTGTGTGTGTGTGTATAGATTGGAAGTGGTAAAAATTATATGTTTTTTTTTTTTAGTTCATTTTATATGGATTTTCAATTTTGTAGTAGTGGTTTTATCCAAAAGTTCTGTGGTGTGTGTGTGTGTGTGTTTTTTAATGTATCCAATATGATGCAATGATACACTTTGAACAACAACAACAACAACAACAAAAAAAAATTGTATCCAATTCGTAATCAATTGATGCGCACGCATCATTTCGTTGTCATAGTTGGTTAGTTTATTATCATCATCATCATCATTGGCCAAAATATTATCCATATATTTTCAAGGTTTTTTTTCCTCAAAAAAAAAAAATGAAAATTTTTTGGGCGTCGATAAATGTGTAAATGGCCAATTTTCGTACTTGTTGTTGTCGTTGTCGTTGTTGTTTGTCATTTGTTTGGTTAGGTTTTTTTCCCTTGATTGGTTGGTTATGTATGGGCGATGGCCACATTCACAATTGGTGGATTTTATCTGTAATTCCTTCGGGGTTTGTTGATTGTTTGATTGGATATATATGAGAATTGCGTGATTCTAGTTATTTATTTGAATTCGTAGTTGTTGTTGTTGTTGTTGTTGGAATTGCACTACGGTTAATGTATATTACCACTATTTTTATTTATGATTATCATTATCTTGTCATTTTCATTATACAAATATAAATCAAAATGCAAATAAGAAAATTTTCATAGTTTCAAATAATTTGAATTTTATTCTCTCATTCTGTCTCCATATTTTCACATTTCCATATTTTCTTTTGGCCACCAATTGATTTATATCCCACACACACACACACACACAGACATACATCTCGATTTGGACGTTTGTTTTTTTTTATTTCTTGTGGAAACATACATTTTGTTTCTTTATCACTGTTTTTTTATAGTCTCGTATTCTTTTCAGGTTTTTTTTTTCTATTGTCATGTCCAATGCCAATTCTTCTTCTTCGTTCTTTTTTTTTGTTTTTTTGCATTATTTCTCGTTAAATCATTTTTAAAAATGAAATTTTGTTTTGTAGCCATTTAAAAAAATCAAGAATTTTTTTCTCACTACGCATGTGTGTGTGTGTGTGTATTACATATATATAAAAATTCTGTATGTATGTATTGATGATGATTATGTAGCCAACAAAGTAGCTACATTATTGCACATATAAGAAATGTAGGCGGTTCTTTCGCATTTTTTCGTTGGTCGATTGGTTGTTTGGTTGGTTGGTTTGTTCATTTTCTATTTGGCCATTCTTTGAAAATTGTTTTGTTACAATAGAGGAAAAAATGTGAAAACTAAAGGTTCATCCTTGGTTCATTCATTCATTCATTCATTCATTTTTTCGTACACACACACACACATTTTTGTAATTTTTGATGAAAATAACAAACTGAAAATTCATGCGCAAAAAAATTTTTTTTTTTTTGTAGCCAAATAAAAATTCTTTCAAAATGTCCGTCTGTCTGTCTGTCCGTTCGGATGATTCTGTGAAGGTCTACAGGCAGGATACGACAACAAAAGGAGCATGTACGGAACGATGTAGCAACAAACAAATAAAACAAACAAAAAATAAATGAATATAAAATTCTGGAAAAAATAAATTTGAATTTAGGGAGAAAAAAAATTATTAAAGAATTTTATCAGGCAAAACAAAAAACAAAACAAAACAAAACACAAGAATATTCCATGATGAATGGATGGATGGATTAATGGAAAATTTGATAGGATTCTTGTCCCCCCCCGAAAATAAACCAGAATTTCTTTTTTTTTCTTATGAATTTTATACCTATTAACCTGATCATTTTAAAATATTCTTTTTTCAATCATTTCTTTCGTCCACAACAAATCAATAGTATCAAATAATCAATTAATTATAAATGGAAACCTGTCACCAACCACACCGCCACCACCACCATTATCGGCATCATCATCAACATCATCTAAATCATCTAAATCATCATCATCAACAACATTATTGATGAATGGTCAAAGAAATGGTAAATTATCATCATCATCATCATTATCACCAACAAGAACATCGAAATCTGGTTTTAATTTGGATTTAAATTCTTTAGGTAAAAATAATAACAATAACAATACAACATCGGTTATAACAACTGCTACAATCACTGGTAAAGATAATGATGATCGTGATTTAAGAACAATATCGAACAATGCTAATAATCGAACAAATTCAAATCCATCATCATCATCATCATCATCATCATCGATTGCTAATTTAATGACAGCAAAATCAATATCGAATCATCATTCATCACATTTAACAAATGTTCATCTTCATCATCATCATCATAATCAACAGCATTCAACAACACCGATGATGACCAATGGTTTATTACCAACGGCATTAATTGGTCTGAATCGTAATCTTTCATCATCATCATCATCCACATCATCTTCATCGCCATTTGGTGGACAACAACAACAACAACAACAAATATCCGGTGGATTACAACCACCACCGGTGGTAACAATACCACCACCACCGCCTCCATCACATACATTATTAAATCCATTACTTGCTTTTAGTCATTTTGCTGATTTACAGAATGCAGCTACTTGGTCTCAATTTGCTGCTGCTGCTGCCAGTGGTGGTGGTGGTGGTGGCGGCGGCAGTAATCGTTCATCATCAGGTGTTGGTGGTGGTGGTGGTGGAAATGGAACATTCCCACATCATCATCATCATCATCATCAACAACATCATGGAAATATTGGTGGTGGTCCAGCATTTCCACATCCACGATCATATTTTGCTGGATTATTTCCTGGATCATCATCATCATCAACAACAAATTTACCAACAACAACAACAACAATAATAAATTCATCGAATAATGGAAACATTAATTCTCATCAATCATCAACAATTAATGGTCAAAGAAATCGAAATTTATCACCCAGTCCAACTGGTACTGCACATCATCATCCATCATCATCAATGAATCATGTTGGTCATTTTAATCATAATCATCATCATGGTATGATTGGATCCAGTTCATCCAATATGACTATAAATTCAAATTTAAATCATCCACAAACATTGGCTGAATCAGCATGGACTGCTCATTTAACATCACATTTAGCATCAATTATTTCGAATCATCCATTGAATCAATCTCAACAACAACAACAACAACAACAGACAAATCATCATGGATCAAATATTCAAACAACATCAGCAACAAATAATCGATCAACACCATCATCGACAACTACATCAACAACGATGATAAATACAACTACAAAAACAATGACAACGATGAATGATAATGGTAATCGTGAAGGACAATTATCATCATCATCATCATCATCACCATTGCAATCACCATTGCCATTGCCATTGCCAATATCAAGACCGGATAGTCGAGAATCACCATCGGTTGATGTTATTACCGATATTAATGATGAAAATAGTCAATCACAACAGCAACAAACATCTGATAATAATAATAATGGTGGAAATAGTACACCATCACCATTACCATCACCATCATCATCATCATCATCATCATCATCATCATCATCATCATCATCATCATCATCATCGTCGTCAAATCAACATCAAGAACAACAACATTCACCAGAACCATTATCATTGATTAATAGAAGTCGTACACCATCGGCATTTCGAAGAACATCAACGGCAAATTCAAATCATCATACGAATAATGTTTCATCATCATCAACAGCAACAACAACAGCAGCGGCAGTAATATCTACAACTGCTACTGCTACTGCTAATGTAGCTACTACATCTTTAGTCAATACATCCGATTAATGATGACGAATATATCGATATGAATTATTCTTGAAATTTTGTTCATTTCAAAAAAAAAAAAATTTGGGTAAGTTATAATCAAATCTATAATCGATCTATGAATCAATTGATTAGTATTCCGTGGTAGCATTATTCCGTTAGAAATGGTTGGTTGATGGACTCTGTGTGTGTGTGTGTGTGTGTGTGTGTGTGTGTGTGTGCTAATCACTGGATAATTTTTGGTCTTTTTTTTTTGAGTTCGATTTTTTATTCTTCTTCTTCTTCTTCTTCGTTAGTGATCGCCCACTTGGGTCTCATAATGATAATGATGATAATTTATAAACCATCCATGAATATAATGACCCATCATCATCATCATCATCATCATGAATGGTCCATTTATAAATGATATAACCACATGCCATTTAAATAAAAGAATCTGACCACTTGAATAATCTATTTGTGTGTGCGTATGTGTGTGTAAATGAGGAATAATCAAAAAAAAATTCCTCCATAAATGAGAAATAGGGAGTAAACTGTAATGAACCAAAAATGAAAAGGACAAATTATTCATTAACAAACCAAAAAAAAAAAAAAAAAGGACATTTGTAACTGTACAGAAAATGGTCATTAACATGAATCATCGGTCAACAGATCTCCACCATTCAAAAGAAATTCATAAAATTGAAATTTCTAAATTTCAAAAAAACAAAAACAAGAATCGATACAAGCAGAAACAAAAAAAAAAAAATCTGGCCATAGCTCAATATATAAACTAAATAACTAAACTAAACTAATTGTTTATTTTGTCTGTTTGTTCAATGATCCATAATACATGGCGCCAAAGAAAACATTGGAACAACATTTCATCTCCCAAATGAATGGTGGTGATCCATGAATCAAATCATTTGATTTTTTCTCTCTATGGATTTTTATTCACAAGCCATTTGGTTTGTTCAAAATACACATTCTGGTCTGTGTGTGTGTGGGGGTGTTTGTGCGTAATAGTTGCATAATAAGATTGTCATAATTGCAAATTGTTGTTTATATGAAAAAACGATAAAATATTGATGTTTTTTATAGCAAAAAAACAAAAAAAAAACAAGATGGAAAGAAAGTAAAAATGACTGACAATTTTTATCGCTCATTTTTTTCTCGGTTCCAAGTTTCTGGAACAATTCTTTTCAATGTTGTAAAGCAAAGAGAGAGAGAGAGAAAAAAATGTGCAAAAATAGCAAAAAAAAAGAGAAATATTCTGGTGATTCTAGAATCTATAGAAGTAAAAAAAACCGGGCAATTTGAAAGCAAAAAAAATAACGAGCTTCAAAATGAATGAATATATGGCCATATCCATGAATCATTCGAATAGCAACAACAGCAACAACAACAAAATGAATGAATGAATTCGTTCCATAGAACGATTCCATCCACTGTGTTTTCATGTATGTATCCCTCCAGAATAAATTCTTTATTCTTACAGAATTTTTCCGTTGACCAAAAAAAAAGACAGAATTGTTAATATGAACGAAAAATGTGTTTTTTCTCTCTCTCTCTCTCTCATTGTTGTTGCTATATTTTCCTCTCTAGAGTTTAATTACTCGTTGTCGTTTTCGTACAATTTCATTTTTTGCTACTGTAGCAATCGGATTTTTTTATTTTATTTTGTTCGCTACACATTATATGCACAGTATTTTCATTTCAACATTATTGTATGGCATGTCATTTCATTTTGTCTTTCACTGTGTGTGTGTGTGTGTGTGTTGAAGAATATTCTTTATTTCTCATGAACATTAACATTTTGGAAACAAATACAAATGGCACATAAATTTTTGTTTTTGTTTTGTTTTATTTTCACTTTGAGCTCCCATTCCATGAAAAAAAAAAAAAAAAAGAAAGAAAGAAATGGAAAAATGCCATATTCTTGCAATTTTTATTCTTGTTTTTTATTACATTCATACACAAACACACACACAGAAATAGATATAAAATGAACATTTTGGTACAGATACACACACACACGCATGCAAGCTAATCAACAAATGATTGGAATGAGAAAATTGAAAAAAAAAATTAAAATGAAAATGAAAAACAAAAAAACAGAATCAAACGATTGATTATTAAAATCTATCAGTTATAATCATGCAATCAAATCTTAATGAATCCATTTGAAGCAAGCAAAAAGAGAGAGAGAGAGAGAGATGGAAAATTACAATTCATTAGAATTTTTACAAACAAACAAACGAGCAATCATTTCGCTACATTAGATTCATATATGAACATACATGCGTAGAATGGTGGGGGGGGAAATTTGTACATTTTTGTACCTTTTTTCTCTGGAATCTCTGGAAGTAGAAGAAAAAAAAATAAATAGATTTCGTTTCGATACGATTTCGACATCGAAATAATGATAATGATGATGATTAGATTGAATTGAATTGAATCGAATCGAATTGAATTGGTTTTCAATATTTAGCTTTTTGTTTCCAAATCTAACGATGATGATGAACTGATGATGAACTTTTTCATTTTCAATTTTTTTTTGTTTGTTCCACCAATTCTCAAATTCAATATGATGAATCTAATTCTATTACAAGAATTTTATTGAATAAAATTCTATTACAACTCAATGATGATGATGATGATGATACCGAAAAAAAAAATTTCTCATCAAGAAAAAAAAAAAGATTCTGTTCATTTTCAAAGTTTCGATTTATGACAACATTGAAAAACAGCAACAAAAAACAAAAACAACAAAAACTTTATTCTGTGGCCAATTATATGCCATTTTTGCAGGATAATCAAAAAAAAAAAAAAAAAAAAAAAATATCATCAAATTCATGGGGACGTCTCGATTCGTTCGATTGAATCAGAGAGAGAGAGAGAGAAAAAAAAAAAAACATAATTGGAATTTTGTGTTTTAATTCATGAGAATATTCTTTAGTCAACCAAAAAAAAAAAAAAAAAAAAAAAAAAAAACAAAAACCAAACGCAAAACGGCCAAAGTTTTTCAATTTCTTATATACCAATAAAATAGAAGACACAGGGAAAAAAAATCCAATATGATTTTTAGTCATTATTTTATCAGTTTTTTTTTCAACGAAAAAAAAACATTTATTAACTTAAAAACTTTTCCATTAGACATACACACACACACACACACAAAATGGCTCATCATCATTCAGAAAAAAAGCCAAAAATTATCGTCGATTATAATGAAAAACAAGACAACAGAGTGGTGGTGGTGGTGGTGGTGCAAGCGGTGGTGATGATCAAGGGCATGAGGGGGAGAATAATTTAAAAATTTTCAATAATTCCAAACGCGTATCAGAAATTTTTCTTTTAAATTTAAAAAATCCAATCTCTTGGATTCGGTGTGTGTGTGTGTGTGTATGTGTGGGTAAAATTTAAAATTTTAAAATTGAAAACGAATCAAATAATGCATCTGCTGATGCTGATTATATATATAAATGATGATGATTCTGGTTTCTAACCACTCCCCAGAGAGATGAGTTTGAATATATTTTTTTATAATTTAAATTTGAGTTTTTGTTGTTTTTGGATGTTTTTTTTCTTTTCTTTTCACCATTCATACATATAGTGTCATTGTATTGTTTTCAATTGATGATGATGATGATGATGATCAGGGAATGTGAAATGTGTGTTTTTTATTTTGCTACTGTAGCAAATAAAAATTTGTGCTCAAATTTTGATTCCAAATGGCCATGACAAACGTTTATATTTTTATTTTTTTTACGACAAACGACAATTCTCAATGAAAAAAAAAAAAAAATCCAGTCGCACACACACACACACACACGCAGACAAACCAGTCCAAGGTTTTTTTTCCATCTCTCACTGATTTGATTTGTTGATTTGTTGATTGTTGATTTGTTTGTGTGGTGATGAATTTTAAATTTGATTGAATGAAATTTATAACAACAACAAAAATCATTCATTTCTCATTCACAACAGAAACAAAAAAGAATATTCAACAATATTCCAATTCAATGAGCTGTGTAATTTTTGGGCAAATTGGCCTGGATTCACGCACACACCATATATATATATATATATTATATCATCATATAACGTAAGTGTTTAAAAATTTTGAAAAAATTTCATTTTTTCAATACAGAATTTTTTTTTTAAATACAGAATCATCTAGCTATCACAAATCATTGATATTTGAAATATTGATTTCATCATCAGCATCATTTGGATTCCAAATCATCATGGATCATCATGGATCATCATATCATAGTTAAAACAAAACAAACAAACAAAAAAATTTCTCAACATCAACAAGCGACTTTATTCATTTAGGATTGTAATTCAATTGTATTCAAATTGGAATTTTTTTTTTTCTTTCGTTTTCTTTCAATTATCATCACACAATAATACTGGTGATCAACACTTCTTGTTTGAATAATTTTTTTTTTGCAAATGTTTTGAAAACAAAACAAAACACAAATCAAGTCTCAAAGAGACAATAAAACAACGATCATCATCATCATCATCATCATCAAACAAGTTGTGTTACAAAACTGCTAGCTGATTATAAACTAAAAAATTTTTTCACTTATTCAAATACCAAAAAAAAAAAAATACAAAATTGCGACATCTTAAGAATTGATTGATTTCAATGTTTGAAAAATTCCATTTTCTTGAAATGGAATCAAATGAAACAGAGAGAAAAACACGATACACCCACACACACCCACACAAACACATGTACCCCTCTTATTCGAATTATGTTTGACAGAAAGAACAAAAAAAAAAAGAAATTTCATAACACGTAAAAAAACAAAACAAAACAGCATACAGAATATTCATTAATGTAACCAAAAAAAAAAAAAAAATCATTAGGATATATAATAACTAGGATTTGTTATTAATTGATTTCATTCTATTTCATTCTTTTAATCAATCATTCTATGTCTCATTCATTGCTACAATGATGCACACGAACACACACACAGACAAAAACAAACATTAGCTAAAAGCTACTTTTTATTACAATTAATTAATCAAACAATCAATGATGATTGATAATATTCAAATTTATCAAATTCTCTAGGATTCTTATTATTATTCTTATTATCAAATGTTCATTATTTCTCATTTCTCATTCTTATTCTCATTTTCATTCTGTTTGTTTAAAATTACACACACGATG